TTATTTTCACAGTCTTTTCACCGTCTTCTAAATGTAGACAGGTTGTGTTGTATTAGGAGATTTTAAAACATCTGTAGCATGTCCTCTCAATGGGGAACATTTGGAAAAGGAGGAAGTGGTAGAAAGCCACAAAGAAAGCACATTAATTTAACATTAAACTATAATAAATGTTACAGCAGGAGTCATAATTCTGCCACTCGCTTTTTACATGCTCAGTTTTCTGAAGAGTCTCCTTCGGGGATGAAACTCCCCATGGTTGGTCCCAGAGATTATTTTTGTTCTTTAGTTAGTTCAAATGCCAGAAGGGACTTTACTAAGTAAATGTGGAAAACGCCTTTTCAATTTTAAGTACTTTTTTAAATAACTTGAGTCTCAAAGATGGTAAAACTATAATTATACATTTACTCTTGAAAAATAACAGAAGCATCTGGTATAGATTAACTGAGATTACAGGTAAATGAAGACCCTATTTACTCTCTCACAACTCATCTGTTTTATTTTTTTCTTTCTTTCTTTCTTTAGCTAGGTCTCACTGAGGAATAGGTCCTTGATGGTTTGCAAGACAACTCAGCTGAATTGTATCTTTTAAAAACTTCGTTTTGGGCATGCACTTTTGCTAACCTTGGGAGCTAGTAACTGCCTAACATCCATGGAGAAAGTTGTCAACATAGGAAATTTTTATCGATAGACTTGAAAGCAGAAACATTCTTCATTGAAATATTTATGTTCCTTTGGTGTTTTATAATCTCTGTAGAGATTCTGTATTCAAATACAGGAGCAAATTGTGGAAATGCCAAACTCTGTTAGAAAAAACAGCAAAGCTTGTATACTTTAAGTTCACTTTTTCAATTCAAGGAGCTTACACACTTCACTGCAGGAACTTGTAATTGCAAGCCATATAAATGCTAGATTTTTTTTTTTCCTGGGGAAGGGGAGGAATGGAAATCCAAAATAAAAAAGTGTATATTAAAGAGAGTGACAGCATTTTGTATGAACTGAAAAAGATGAAGGAAGAGGCTAGGAAGGAAGAGTTTTGCTGCTTCCTCCTTCAGGTTGTCCAGAATGCTGCCACGGATACTTAGTGTGCGCCATCACTCTGACTGTGCTCCACTACAGCACCCTTTACTGGCTTTCCCTCACCTTTCATATCAGACATAAGCGCTCTCCTCTTTGAATCCCTACACAACTTAGCTCCTGTCAGCCTCTGTACATTAGTCTTGTCGCACACAAGATGCAGGCAAGCAATAAGAGAAAGTTATTTTAGTTATGATTAAAGGGAGCTTCATAAAGGGGTAGAGGGAGAGAACGAGGAAAAAGTGTGCAGTGGTTCAAGTGTAAGGCAAAAGCAAACGGGTTAGAATAATGAAAGGAAAGAACAGAGAGGAAATGGAAAGTGCTCAGCAATTTCTCTATGGATAAAGCTTCTGCAGTCTGTGCATCTACTAAGGAACAGAGTTAGAGCAAGGGGTTAGTGTGGATAAATGAAGTAAGAGGCAAGACTTAAGCTGTGTAAGATACCATGTACAGGGGAGGTCTGGAGAGATTAGGCTATTAATGTAAGTAATGGGAAACTTAAAAATTGATCATACAAACAATTGAGAGAAGGTGGTTGGTTTCTTGAATTAGGCTTGTCTGGTGAGTGAGTACCAGATTCTACTTGGATTCTACTTCTCTAATGAACTGGAATATAAATCCTCTTTGCTTACCTAAAATAGGCAATCCATTATTCTGACAGAATCTGGATAAAGTGAGGTACCAGGTTGGGGTAGGGATTACCCTATAGATTTTGGGTAACTTTTAAAGGTAGTGGTTTCTATTCTTTTTATTGAGGGAGGAAGCTGAGTGGTGATAGAAATAGGGCACCACCCAGAGCACACCTGCCCTGTTTATAGTTAAGAAAATATAACAGGCCAATTCCAGTGTCTGCTTGATATTGCTTTTTCAGTGAGCTACTATAAAGTAAATGAGAGAAAGTGGGGAAATTTGACACACAAGGAATAACTTGTTTAAGCAAATATTTCCTAAGGTGTATTTAAGGATTTTTGTTTCTATTTTTAGTGTCTGTTTTGGTTATTATAATTTTTTAGGAAACTTGTTTTATAGGTTGATGAAATTGTGCCTCCGTAAACTTGTTCACAAATCTGTTTTATTAGCAGTAAACAGAAATTGGGGAGGGAGGAGTCTTAATTTTTTTTAACAGACTGAATTCTTGTTTACATCCTAGTTTATTCATACCTTTTATATGTTCACATCAAAAAAAGGAATTTGCTTACAACTCTGCTTTTATATGTGACCAGGAAGTGAACTACAGAGTGTATGAACAAGAAGTAATACAGACAGTAACTTAGGCCCTGATCTGGCAAAGACTTACATGGGTGGTTAACTTTGGGTATTTGGGTAGTTCTAATCAAGTGAAATGCATACATATTCCTTTCATCTATCTACTTTTTGCTTGAAGGCAAGGAGATTAAATTAGTGCCTAATTTAAGACAAGTTGCAACAAATGGGTGTAATAAGTCATCAGAAGGAGTGGTAGGAGGAGAATGAAGGTAAATAGAAACGTGGTTACATAGACTAGTTATGTTCTTATTTAGATAGTTCTGCATCCTTTAGGGTTGTTTTTAATTCTGAGTTACAAATCAGTCAAATAGAGATTCCCCACTAGCCATCTTCCTAGCCATTGTCTGGTGGTGGTGGTGGTGGCAGTATTTATTACTTGTATTACGGTAGCACGTAGGAGCCCCAGTCATGGACCGGGATCCCCTTGTGCTAGGCGCTTTACGAACAAATCAAAAAGACCGCCCTTGTGATTGTTTGTTTTCCATAGACATCACAGTAGAAATGGGTCTTGAGGAGGGATGTGAAGGAGCATCTTAGAGGCATTATGGAATAGTTCAGAATGAGTGTTCCATGCATGAAGATTAACGTGGAAGAAGTGGACAAACAGGCAGTCAAGGCTGGCTTTGTTTGTGAGGTAATGCAGCAAGATACAAGTGCAGATACTAGAGCAGGATAGAGTTGTAAAAGGCTATCAAGGTGAGATGAACTTGAATTTGATGTGGAGATAAACAGGAGGGATTCAGGGAGTATCATGTCTCCAATGGTGGCTAGTTAGTACCACATGTTAGAACATGTGTTTATATTCCCAGTATATCTTTTATCCTATCTAGCAACTATTGATGCTACATCATTCATGTAAATGCTCTTTTTAAAATTATACTAGGTCTTGGGCTCAAATTATTACTCTGTTTGTTAAATTTATCAATTTAATTGCATGTTGTACTTGTACTATGAGAAATAGAATTCAGGTGCTCGTGTTTTACCCTGTTGCTTTCTATGTGGGTACTTATGTGACCCCCATCACATTCCAAGATTTTAAATATACTTCTCTCTCTCTCTCTCTCTCTCTCCCCTTCCCACTCAGTAGGATGAATTCCTTTACTCATTCATAGAATGATAGGACTGGAGGGGACCTCTAGAGGTCATCTAGTCCAGTCCTCTGCATTCATGGCAGGACTAAGTATTATATAATTATTTATGTTTTGTGTGTTAAGGGGTGGGGTGGGCAGGTATCTGTATATGAAGAGGTTTATTGAGAGGAAAGCCAAGTGAGTTTAGTAATTAGTTCTTAATACAGTGATGCCCTTTATCATTCTTATTCAGGTAATAAGGTCCACCTCCTGTGTATTGAAATAAATGCAAGTTAGGTGCCTACATATCTTTGAGGACCTATGTATCTCTTGTGCTTGCTAGCCATTCTTGATAGGTAAGAGTCCTGGTTCTTGGGAAATGCATCTATAGTTGTAGGTCCAGTCCTGTTGAAGACATTGAATATCAGGAGTGATGTACCTTTCCTGTACCAATCACTCTTTTATAAACTTTCCTATATTCTCTTATTGAAATGAGCCCGATCTTTTGATTCTCTTTTCCTATGGAAGTCTTTCAATGGCTCTGATTTTTGTTGCCTATTTTTACACTTTTAACATGATATTCAAGGTGAGACATACTATTGGTCTCTTTAATATTCTCAGTATTTTCTCTTGCGTTCTTTATAGCGCCTAACGTTTTGTTTCCTTTTTTGGTGAAATTGGGAATCCCTTAAGTATAGTTCTATGTAACTCAGTTCTCCAGTATTGACTGGGAATGAGGTCTGTAGGACCCCAAACTAGCTTCTAAACAACATGGACTCAGTTTGCTCTGTGTAACTGACATGAGTTTCCTTGCAGAGATTTTACACTTTCTCAACAGGTTAGTTACAGACATCCTTATATCTAGGACATTAATCACAGTGAAATAAAAGTCCTTAACAATCCGAATTGCATTAGCTAAGTATGTTTTGATTGCATGTGCTGAGTCAAGAACTTGAGTTCAAAACTTTATTTAAAATTTTGTGGGTGAAATCCTGGTTGCCTGGAACTACTTATGTGCATGGAATTAAGCATGTGCATAAGTGTTTGCAGGATCAGACTCTGGGGTAGCAAAGCAAGCTGTAATTGAAGGTTTTACTCATGTATTTTGCAAATGAAAAAATACTGACTAGTTTTTGTTTGAGAACTTATCATTGCATTGTGCCAGACAGTGACATGGTGCTGCTGCAAGAAGTCTGTCAAGCTGTTTGATCCCTCAATACTGCTTCTGGTTCCCAGGCATTAGGCTGCGGTTTCTCCATTTATTACTTCAGTCCACTTGCTCACATGCACAAATTAAGCAGCACTTGAGGTCTCTGCTCCTCTGTCTAAGCGCCTGCTGGTACTGTCTGCACCCTTCGACAATGCTAAAGAGATTTTGGTCAGCAGTTGAGTTCCTAGATCAACAGCATGATATCTTATGTGCCTTAGTTTTTATAATTGAATTATCAAATTCTAAGATATAGCAGGTATATTTTTTAAATAAAAAAATGACCCAGAGTCATAGGAATTTGGGGTCCTGTTAACAAGCAGGGGTAGACAAGACTAGAAAATTGATTTAAAGAGAGAAATTTTTTTGTTCTTTTGCTACAGGTGGCAATAAAAATAATTGACAAATCTCAGCTCGATGCAGTGAACCTGGAAAAGATCTATCGAGAAGTGCAGATAATGAAAATGCTTGACCACCCGCACGTAATAAAACTCTACCAGGTACAGTTATAATCCTCTTGCTTTTCCCCTCCCCCCCATGTGTTCTAGTGTAAAATGTTTATGGATGTCTAATCCTCTACATCAGTGACATTTTATGGGCTGCTGGTTCACAGTATACATTCAGCTTTTATGTGGTGGAGTTGTTTTGGGTGTGTTTTTAATCTTTGTGCGTGCACAGCAGCATATTGGCCTAATTCATTCTGTGGTTAGCATACATGTCTGCGTCACACAGAAGAACTCCAGAGGTGCCTGAGATCTAATTTTTAAAAAAACTGGGTGATTTAGTGCTGGTGAGAGGTGCTAGACTAAGATACCTGGAGACTGAGCCTCCTATTTATTCACAGAGCAGGTACAGTATGAGCAGCAGCAGTGCAAGTTTCCTTCACATTACTTTGCCTATGTGCCTAAACTGAGAGTGACCATTGTTTTTTCATGTTTCAGAGTAACAGCCGTGTTAGTCTGTATTCGCAAGAAGAAAAGGAGTACTTGTGGCACCTTAGAGACTAACCAATTTATTTGAGCATAAGCTTTCGTGAGCTACAGCTCACTTCATCGCTAAGGTGCCACAAGTACTCCTTTTCTTTTTGTTTTTTCTTGGTTTTTCTGCTGAGACAACCCACCGACATAACATTTGGCACCCTTGTTGGTAATCTTATAAAGTCTTGTCCACGGGGATCTGGACTGAACCCACCAGTCTCCTTTCAGAGAAGTTACCAACCTTCCAATAAGTGGTAGCTTTCAGTTCAAACCAACCACCTGTAAGTGGGAGATTCTTAAACCCAATTCTTTGAACTGCCCAGTTCCCCTAAAAATCCAGGTCCCAGTTCATTGTTGTATGGTCATTTACATCACTGCAGAATGCTGCCTTGCCTGTCTGTGTGGGTGTAAGCAAGTACACAAGATGCAGGGCAAATGATTATTTGGATTTTCATTTTTCCTAAGTCATGAATAAATCTGTATACACACAGTAGGCCATGATGCTGCAGATCCACCTATAGAATTTGTCCGTAAACCTATTTGTGTAATTCTGAACTGAATCTTTGTATCTGCTGACTGTTTTCAGTCGATGTATGCAGTTTGCAATACAGCTGGGTGGGTTCAGAGTTAAAGGTGAAACTGCCCTTTCCTTGTCTTATTGTGTCTTGATGATTTAACGGTCTTTGGCACAAAAAGATGAGGTAGAGGGAGTTCATTTTCAGAAGTTTTTTGGTTTGTTCTTCATTGCACACACTTCCTTGAAGTCTGAAGCGTAGAGATGCTGCTGAGTCTTTTCCGATGTCAGGACGGTGTTGTGTATCAGTCCTGCTGAAGACTGAGGCTGGCATCAGAACCCAGTATATTGTATAAAGAATTTCAAGGCATTCAATAGTTAGTCCTTCTGATCTAATCAGGCATGCCACACACATTTCCCACTGATGCTGAATCAAAATCTGTATGAAATGATTAATGACTTATAATGCCAGCTTGTCTTATTGGCATCCAGATGTTTTCTGCTTTGAGCAGGGGCAGTACTGGAACTATTGACAAGGGAGGTGAACTCAAAAGTGGAGGCCAAGGCAGGAGTATAGTAGTAGAGAAATTCTACACAACCCGTCCTCTCATCAGCAACCCAAAAGCTCGAGGAAGCTCTGGGATGGGAGGGGGAATAGCAAGAGAATGGGTCCTCAACCTTTTCAGATGCCTACCAGCTAGAGGCCAAATTTGAAATCTGGATCCCCCAAATAGGGTCTAGGGATAACACATTGTGGTAGGAATCTCAGCACCCTCTTCTTCCCTCATGTGATGTTTCGAGGGGTTGGCTTCTGACCTGGCATTGCCTCTGAATAGTGTGTGCAGGTGAGGGGGGCATCTTTCTTACAGGTCATCGTTTAGTAGATTTGATCCTCTGGCTCTCAAGAATATAATATGTCTACACCTACATGTGTGTGCATGGGTGAGAGTTCAAGGGCTGGGTAAGAGGGAGGGGTAATTATGAGGATATGTTCAAAAAGAGAAATATGGTACAGAGCATTTTGGTGTGATATTGTCATGGGCCACTAGCTTATAACTCCCCGCTTGGAGGCATGATTCCTTCCCTCCACTGCTCCTGGAGATATGTAGCTATACACTGCCCTTCACACAGGTCAGACTGTGAAAGCACAATGTAGTTTTTAGTCTTTGAGCCAGTATCTGGTAATTTTTGTTTTTTAAGCCTGGCATTTTCAGTACAAATGCTTTGACTATGAAAAGAGCTAGCACAGTGTGTGTGTGGCGGGGGGGGGGCATAATGCAATGGCAGAGAGACAATGTCTGAGCGTGCCAGTTTGGCAGTTTAACAGTTGAATTGAGCTGTTCATGTACAGTTGCTGTCCTACAGTAGGTTACATTTCTTCCCGTATTTGTTCATGTCAATCTCCGTGTAGGTGCCCACCTGGGCCTTGTGCGTGAGAGTAGAATCTTTAGCTAGCGGTGTTCATTGGGCCACAGGTGTGCTGTGCATGCCTTAGTGCGTGCCTTCAGCCTAAAAGTGGCTGCAACTCTCAGTTCCTCTTACTGCCCACGGCAGTGAGACAAAACAAGTGGTGTCCACCCCCTTCCTTTTAGCAGAATTTTCTCTTGTAAATTAGTTAATTCTCTTCAAATTCCTCCTTTTAAAATTTTTCTGTATTAACACACACCACCCTGCCCAAAAAAAAAAGAAAAATTTAAAGTTAAATTTTTTCCTCTCTTATTTTTACCTGGTATCCAGACCTAAACTGGCAGATTCAAAACCCACATGCTTCAAACTGTGGCAGTTCTGTGACACTCATTTCACTCATAGATGGCCACAGCTGCTGTGTTTGTCATCTCAGGGAGAACCATGTGTTAGACTGCTGCTCGGTATGCCGTTCCTTTTCCATCTCAACAACTAAGTCCAGAGACTCTCAGAAGAATTTATATTAACTCAGACAATCAATGAAAGGGACTTAAGAGCCCGAAGAGCGAAGTTTGACATCCCAGATTGATCTGGTCTCTAAGTTCCAGTCAGCCAATGCTCCTGCAATCTGGCACGCAACATCCAAGTTCACTATTGGCAAAAATCCACAGCACATCAGACAAAGATCAGGAACCAGCGAAGGCTATCTTGGTGCCAACTTCCTACCCCAGCACTGAGAATCAGTACTGCGTCCTCACCAAGGCAAGTGAGATCTGAACACCTGGATAGACACTGCTGCCTGTACTGATCCCCCTCGTCCCACAAGGAGAGACTCAAACCCTTGCCCTCCTCTCAGCAGCAGAGTGCTAAGCTTGTTCATTCAATCGGGGCAAGTGATGCTCAGCACTGACTACACTACACTTGGCCCTGATACACATCTCCAAACGCACAATACAAAAATCGGCGCAAAGATCAGCACTGCCTTTGGGAGAAATTTCTGGCTCTTTTCCGCACCTTGTCAAACTTTTCAGCATCATTTTTAAAATGAGGCCACCAGAACTGGATGCAGTATTCCAGTATCAGTCTCTCCAATGCCGTATACCTAGGTAAAATCACCTCACTGCTCTTCTATTTATACATCCAAAGTTCACATTAGCCCTTTTTTGCTATATTGTCACACTGGGAGCTCATTTTGTGTTATCTGTCCACTACAGTGCCTTCATTTTTTTTAGGAGAGAGTCTCTTCTCTCCAGGATGCACTCCCCCACTCTGCAGATATGATGTTCCTTCATCCTAGATGTAAGATCATGTTTCTCTGTTCAAATTAGGAGGGTGATGACCTGTTTGCCTCTACACTTCAGCCCTAAACCTCAAGCTCTTTAGATACCAAAGACAGTCCAGACAGAGGATGCCCACCTACCTTTGGCAACAGTCTTCTGTGTACTCACCCAACAAGAAGCCAAGATTATCTCAGAAGAGACCATCACTTTCCTCAGTAATTGGTCAGTCTACATCAGCTACACCAAATTTGATAGAACAGTGTTACAGTCACTTTATTTAGCGGTTGCCAGGACTTCTCAATCCCACCTTCTAGATGAGACAGTGCTTATCAGTTACCTAGAGTGGGATCATATGGACACAGATCTGAAGAAGACAGGATGGTTACCTTATAGGACCAGTAGTTCCCTGACCTGTCAGACCCCTTTGGTACTGACTGCACCAAGACCACCTACCTCTGAGGCAGTGGAACCATCCCGTACTGTGCAAGCCAAAGACACTAAGCAGTTGGGTTCAGTCAAAGGCACAAAAGGAAAACCTACAATCCCTGTCTCGGTACCACCAGAGCCGCTCAAACATATGGCGGCAGCAGCACTGAGCAGCTTGGCAGCGCTACAATCTATGGCGTCATCCACAGTGCACAACCCTCGGCACTGACAACCGCAGTAAAGGTATCAATACCACCGACAGCACCCTGCTCAGAACTGATGCTCTCCGTACCACAGCAGTTTCTCCAACATAAAGACCTTTTAGTCTCGTCAACACCGGAATCTCCACTCCTCAGTACCGACATTATTCCAGCACGCTTGGTACCATGCCAACTCACTATGCGAACCTGATCAGCTCCTCCTCTATCCAGTGATGAGGATGATAATGAGGAAGGAAAAATCTACTCCTCCTATTGCTTTTCACCTATACAGACACACACCAGACCGGGTCCACTAGAACAACATCAGTACCACCGAAGACCTGCAACTCAAGGATGGTACAGATGCCCCTGGATGCTGCCACCAATATCATTCCCACCACAGTATCCCTACTGGGACCCATGGGCAGCGTGCCGCCAACACTACCCTAAGCTTCCCAGTCCACACAGGGAGAAGTCAAGGCATTCTCCATCACTTTCAGTACCTTGACCCTCTGAATCCCTGGAAGAGGCAATCAAGAAACTGGAGAAGACTTTGGATCAGGAAGTCACTGCGGCTGCCGGTTTTTCATCCTCCTTTCCAGATGAAACTATCATGCCCCCACCACCCATGACGGGGATGACTTTAAACAGTTCCAAGAACTGTTTAAGAGGATTGCAAACTCACTGGTATACCGCTGG